CATTGTACTTGGTTCTCATAGGCAAGCAACAAAAGCACTTGTGTCGCACTGCATAAAATACAAGTACACATCGTCACGCACTCCGTATACCCCGAATGATATACGTAATGACGCGTTGCATACGTATGAAGTATCGTTGAACTATGTGAAAGCGTGGAGGTCTCGGGAGGAAACTTTGTAACTGATTAGGGGTGATCCAGCAGATTCTTTTAATAATATACCAAGATTCTTTGCCATGTTGCAACATACAAATCCTGGAACGGTCACAGATCTGGAGCTTGATGGTCATAGTAGGTTCAAATATTGCTTCATGGCGCTAGGCGCGTTAATTCGAGGTTGGGGACATTGTAGTCCGATTGTTGTGGTTGATGGCACGTACTTAAATGGACACTATGGTGGGACGTTATTTACGGCATGTACATAGGATGCAAATAACAGCATATACATACTTGCTTTCGGGATTGGGGATAATGAGAATGATGCCTCGTGGACGTGGTTCTTCGAAAACTTGAGGAAGGCGTACGGCTATAGAGAAGGGTTGTGCTTCGTATCGAATCACCACAATAGCATCAAAAATGCTATTGAGAAGGTATATCCAGGAACATGTCATGGAATTTGTTCGTATCATCTCCTTCAAAATCTAAAGTCACGTTATGGAAAATCAAGTAACAATATAACGCAAACATTTAATTCAGTTGTTTGTGCCTACACGTTGTCAGAATACGAATATAACATGCAACAGCTCGACGCGATTAATGGAAAGATAAGGGGTTACCTGGTAATACATTACATATTACCACCAAGTTATATTCTTGTGCATACATTTATTATGTGAAATATATCATTAACAGATAATCATGTTTATGTTTGTAGGACGGTGTTGGGCCTGCTAAATGGTCACGATTCCACATGCCAACGAATCGATATTCTACAATGACATCGAATATAGTAGAGTCGGTTAATGCGGTCACAAAATCTGTCAAGAACTATCCCATCGTAGCTTTATTGGAGTCATTGCGATAAACCATACAGTCGTGGTTTTGTAGACATCGGGAAACCGCACAAGCCACTTTCACAACCTTGTCAAG